CTGCCACCGCTTGCCATTTCCCCAACCATCTGTCCCTGGTTGCGGTTTCTTCTACCACTCCGCTGTGGTCCACCTGAGACAGAAGGTCTATAAGAGACAGAGACTCGACCCGCCTCTTCTTTGCTTTGGTGATAGGCTAAGTTATCCTGTTCCACCCGTGTAGCAGCAGCTACCAAATCCTGGAAGTTTCGAAGTCTCAGAGCCACCAAGGATCTCTTCACAGAGTTCTTGAGGCCCTTATCAAACTTAAGACATCTCATGTGTTCAGACTCCACCAGAGATGGCGCAAACCGGGACAGGTCATTAAACTTAGCCGCATATTGCCTCACTGACATGTCACCTTGCTGCAGCGACATGAATTCCAGTGCTTTTTCTTCCCTGTAACTCTGAGGGAAATACTGGTCATTGAACAGCGTCTCAAACTGCTCCCAGGTCAATCCTACGACATCCATTCTCCTCTTGACCTGTTTCCACCAAGTGTTTGCTAACCCTTCCATCTTGTACACCGCAAATTCCACCCAGTATTCATCTGGAACTCCCATAGTACTCAAGTGCTTAACTATGGAGTCAATCCAAAACTCCGCCTCCTGGGGTCCTCCCTCATTATTAAACGAGGGGGTAGGCGCACGCCTAAATTCCCGGAAGTACCCTTGCTTCCTATCCTCAACCGGCCGCTCGTTTCGAGCTCTTGTGGCCATGCCTTGAAAGGCAGCATACATGGCATCCAGAAATCCTTGATTCTGTTGTGCCAGTTGATTAGCAGGCCTACGGTGAGGCGCCATTTCCTTCAACTGAAATAAAACTAGACTATTCAGTGGATTACAGATGTCACACATGTATGTACAATCCTGGGGTTCTTAACCTAAAGCTCTGATACCACCTTTGTCACGCCCCCCAAACGGGGTGGGTGACGTGGAACTCGATTTGGGATTAATAAAGCATATTCCCAACCGGGTCCCACACTTAACTGCATAAAAATATAAATAAACGACATAATCCAGGAGCCTCTGACACACAGGGCTCCACCCCACAGGACATACAGTATCGTACATACATGCACATGTAAATAATCAATTACAATAGACATCATCCACAGTCTAGTAAATTCAAATGTCATTTATTACAAATTCATACATATTCCTTACACTTTATGTCAAAGGATGAACACAATCCTCACTTGATCGTTCCATAGCACCACTCAGCTACTCCCGCTACTGTGCCCCGCTCATAGAGTCTCCTGGGAGGGGTTTTAAACATTTGAAACATAAAACGTGAGCGAAAGGCCCAGTAGGATATAATTTGAAATATTTAGAATAAATGAGCGCATGAATAAATAATTGAATACATAAATAAAATAAGACATTCAGTCCCGACAGAACAGCCGGAACCTCACATCCTTTTTCTCAAAGGAAATATAACTGAAAATAACCATATTACAGGCTTCAGCAAGTAATTAGT